CCGCCACAACCTCGACCGACGTCGCCGTGCAGAAGAATGGCGGTTGGTTCGGTTTCATCTCCGATGGTATGGAATTCGTTCTCAAGGTAAATTTTGAGCTGCGGATTTCATTTTTTGTTTGTGTAGTTACTAATTATGGGAAGCTTTGGCCGCTTAGAGAGGAGATTTCGGAAATTCGATTTGTAGCTGAGTTTCTGTTTGGATTTAGGTTTTGAAGGACGGACTTTCGGCTCTTCATGTACCCTACTCCTATGGATTTGCCATTATATTGCTTACTGTTATAGTGAAAGCAGCAACCTACCCTTTGACAAAGCAACAGGTGAGAAATGTTGACACTTTGCAGCTCTCATTGTGAAATGTTATATAGATTTTTGAAGTAGTTCCGAAACTGCATTTTGGTATTTAGAGAGGGAATATCAAGGATTTTGCACAATGAAATTAGGTTTTGTTAGGAATTCTCTGCTCCATATGATTGGGTTCTCGGATTGCAGGTTGAATCAACACTGGCAATGCAGAATCTCCAACCAAAAATCAAAGCCATTCAACAAAGATACGCAGGAAATCAGGTGCCCTTAAATCTTTTTTCGCACTGGAGTTATTCTTTTGCTCAAACCTGGTTAAACATAGTCTAACTCTGTTTTCTTCTTCTCTCTTTTTGGTTACCTATCTCTAGGAAAGAATACAATTAGAGACTTCACGCTTGTATAAACAGGCAGGTGTTAATCCACTGGCAGGTACGTTTCGTGACATGATGCTTTTCGTTTGTTACTAATTTTGATGCCTTTGGATTATTAGTTGCCTTTATATTTATATGCCAAGCCTGAGCTCTTTCTTGATTGACATCAGACGTGTGGTTCTTTGTCGATAATTACTACGGTATTGATGTATAGAGCATCTTGTTGTTTTGATGTTAGGCTGTTTACCAACTTTAGCCACAATACCAGTTTGGATTGGTTTGTACCAAGCTCTCTCAAACGTTGCAAATGAGGTACAGAGTCATGCCTAAGACAGTATTGTGATGAACGTTAGTTTCGCTGCTGGCCAGCAAAACTCTCTTGCTTATTTTTTAATCGTTCGTAATTTTTGCTTGCAGGGGTTGTTCACGGAAGGGTTCTTTTGGATCCCCTCTTTGGGTGGACCAACTTCTATTGCTGCTCGACAAAGTGGAGCCGGCATATCTTGGCTTCTTCCGTTTGTGGTAATTAACAAAGAGCCTCTGAACTTAATATTCACATTTGAGTCTTTTCGGGCAACATTACATTGTGACAATCATGAGTTCTTTTTTCCATATGACAATTTCTGATTCATGATAATTAAACCAAAGCTTTTCTCAGCTACTAGCCTCCTCATCTAGGTATCTAATATGATTTGGTGGTGCAGGATGGGCATCCGCCCTTGGGCTGGCAAGACACTGCTGCCTACCTTGTTCTACCTGTTCTCCTTATTGTTTCACAGTACGTGTCAATGGAGATCATGAAGCCTCCTCAGGTGAGATACGTCAACTGTTTCTTTTACTTACGATGCAGGAGCGTCACCTTAGACTCAGATATCATTGTCAAGCTTGAATTCCTGCTCGTTTCTTTTGGCAGACAGATGATCCTGCTCAGAAGAATACCCTTCTCGTATTCAAGTTTCTTCCACTCATGATCGGATACTTTGCTCTGTCTGTCCCATCAGGATTATCTATATACTGGTTGGTTAACCCTCACTTACGAGGCTCCCGCAAATTTACATTATAGTGAAAATATTCAAGTTTGATTGTGAATTTCATATTTTCACGATATTCTGTTGACCAATGTGAATGTTCATAGTGCACTGTATATGTATAGGTATTGGTTGTGTGGGATTTTGGCCTGCTTGTATTACTTTGGGCTTGAGTATTTGGCTAACAATATCCAAACGATCTTTGTGTTTTTAGGTTCACAAACAATGTACTTAGCACCGCCCAACAAGTATGGCTACGTAAACTAGGAGGTGCAAAGCCTGTGGTTAGCGAAAACGCGAGTGGAATAATTAGTGCAGGACGGGCAAAGAGATCAGTCGCGCAGGCAGACGAGGCTGGTGAGAGGTAACAGACTCAATTTCTTCTCCCTAGGGATCATATCCGCCCCATCTGAAATCCCTCCTCAAGATCTTAAATCTTGATAAATATATCTGATCAACAGATTCAGACAACTAAAAGAACAAGAAAAGGGCGGCAGGAAGAACAAGGCGATTGTGAAAGATGCAGCTCAGACGGTAGAATCCCCGTCTGATTCAGAGGAAGGATCCGATGACGACGAGAACGACTCGGTAAATACAGTTTCCGTACACTTGATACCTTATGAATAATTTGGGATTTACGTTTGAAACCAGCAATTAAGATTTACAAACTGATACTAAGGGCTGAATATATATGTATATAGGGCGAGGAGGAGGTTCTTGAAGGAGCGTATGCGTCGAGCACAAGTAAACCGGTTCCGGACGTTTCCCAACGGAGAAGCAAAAGATCGAAGCGGAAGCGCACAGTGTAGACGAAGAAGAAGAAGCCAATTATTAGACCAGAGTGTGTGCGTGTAAATCAAATCAGCATTTCCTAGACTCGAAATGTATTTTTGAATAAATTAAATTTGCAAAAATTGCCCCACTTTTACATTATGCATAAATAAAATCCTACTGTAGTGTATACACCCGAAATCATCGATGAAAATTAAGTAATCATTGATGTAGTTATTTGGAGAACTTGTATTGTAAATAGCTTCGATGATAAACATAAATCGATATTTAAATATATATACACATACATATATGAAATTTTTAGACGTAAACCGTGGTTTTCTTCAGTCAAACAGACGAGAAAATATATAAAATACACTAACAAAGTTAAAATCGTAATAAAAATATTTAAGCATTTATTCCTTGCAACTTAGAGAGGAGAACTAGGGTTCGTTGTCACAAACCGAAGGCCCATCATGTCTCTGTCTGTGGACTCCAGCTTTTGACGACATCCTAATCCTAACATGCGGAAAAGACCTTAAAACCCTTCTTCTTCTCAGCTCACATGACCACCCCTAGGGCACTTCAGTCATTTCGCCAAACGCACACACCGTTTGCAGCTTCTCCTCTCGAAGGGCATTTTCGCCATTCTCGATTACCACCCCTAGAAAATCACCGCTTATATATTCACACGTTAAATATGTGTGTCCTCACACACAATATAGCCAACAGAAAAAAAATGGCTAAGCTTGCTTTCCCTCTCGCGGCGTTGTTCCTCGTCCTCCTCGCCGTCGCTGACGCCGGCGTCCTATATCTCACCGTCGTCAACAACTGCCCCTTCACCATATGGCCAGCCATTCAGCCCAACGCCGGCCACCCTGTCCTCGAGCGCGGCGGCTTCGCCCTCCCCACCCTCCACCACCGCTCCTTCCTCGCCCCAACCCC